AGGTGGATTGATTCAGTGACTGGGGTAATTAGGATGGGAGTGCCAGGGACAGTGTGATTGGCACAGGACTGAGCAGAGTTTAGGTCTGTTGTACATAGGGTCGCTGTGAGTCGCAAGTGACCTGAGGGCACATAACAACAACAAAAACAACTATATTACATAATTGGAAGTAGGAGTGGAATCTACTTCCTAAACCACATGCCTCTGGAAACTCAATGAACCTGGAGAAACAACAGTTATAGAAAGGCTTTAGGCCTTTTGTTCATATGGTCGCTAAGAGTCGTGCTCAACTTAAGTACAATCAACAAAAAACAAGAACATATTACATAAACAAAGAAATTACACAAACCTTTAAGAAATGAAATTTTATAGTAAGCAATAACATATAAAAACTGAAGTTATGTATTATTATCATGTACCTTGTTTTTTTGAATATCATGTAGTTTTCTAATATTATACTAATACTTTTGATCATGGGGCACTGCATCAAATTCATAGAAACACCAAGTAAAATGTATAACATTACCTAAATGACATTGAAAAGAAAAACCAAAACCCCAAATTAAATTTGTAAGTGTATCTCCACTCCTGAGTGTCTGACGTATGAGATTGTGAACCTAAGTTTTATTCAGTCACATAATCAAATAAAACTATAAAATACATATTTAAGTACTATAAAACATTGTTAAAATTCCTACAATTTCCTAAATATTTAAACAATTTGAGATACCAAAAAAGGTATCTAGCATAGAAGACAAGAACAGAAGCAGAGAATAAGGGATTAGAATAAACTGTTACCTCAGTGTCATCTATAAATATGAAACTAGTCAATTTATTAGTTAATTTGATCTTCAGATTGCTTAGCTTTTAAAGCATTTTTGGAGGTTAAAAGAAGATAGTATAGAGCATAAAAATGAGTTGAAAGCATATTTTATACATTATACTAGAAATTACTATGACGAGTTACGATTTACACAATCATAGGCAGTAACATTTTGACCATCCTGTACATTATTGACATTGTAAATAGTATTAATATTTGAGGGTTTAAAGTTTCAATAAATTTAGTTATTCCAATTTTTAAACATTCTGACATACGAAATACACATATGTATGTGATCAAATTACAAAGATAAGGAAATTTCACATTCTTGAGAAAAGGTTAAACAAGTTATTTTATTAATAAAATTGGAATTTAATAGTTCTTATGATTTTATTCATGCACACTGCTCATTTCCTACTATATGGTTGTAACTGTGTTTACCTGAGAAGAGTAAGTGTGACCATCAGAACCACAAACTGGGTTGGTGTATACCACTGGACATTGCTTGCAGGTAGACGACATAGGACTCCTCCATTGTTTATGGCCTACTCCTGTTTCTTTCATACTATTTAAAAAAAGAAAATAAAAATAT